CCCCGTACCTTCGGGTGTGCTGAGGGTGGCAGAGGCAGGCGGATCGGCAGCCCAGGCCGTAGAAGGCCGCCGGGCACTCGCGCTCCTCGCAGCTGTCGCCCAAGAAGCCGGCTTCACACAGGCAGGCCCCGTTCAGGGGGAAGCAGCGCCCCCCATTGGCGCAATCGCAGCGCTGGGCACAGTCCTGCCCATATCTGCCTGCAGGACACTCCTCGCGGCAGCTGGGCGGGGGAGGAAGGGAGAGAGGGCAGAAAGCAAGCTGACCAGGCCAGAGGAAGGAAGAGGGGCTTCAAAAAGCTCCCACCCATCCACCCACCCCTGAGGCAGAGGTCAATCCCAGCTGCAAAGAGGGGCAACCCGGACCCCCCCCTTGCACAGCTAGTATTCGTGTGTGTGTCTAGAGCCATCAGCTCGAAGGAGACCTGGACACGGCCCTTTGGGGGGGGGGACCGGGGAGCCCTGCCTGCTTGCCAGGTCCCACCGCTTCCTTCCACCAGCCAGCTCTCGGCCCTGGGCTTCTTCCTGGCACTCGGAGAGGCTCTGAGCGGCACCCCCACCCCCTTCCCCCACCCAAGAGCCTGAGCCCCTTTCCACTCCTGTCCTCCCGCACAAAGGCTGAAGTAGCTGGGGAGCCCTCCCCCCAATGGGGCAGCTCCAGAGCTGCCTTCTTAGCTGAGCCCTCGGCACGTGGCCGCTGCAGGTTATGTCCTCTGTCACACTCCTAGTGGGGGGGGAGAAGGGAGGGGAGCCATAGGGTGCCAGCGGTGGCCAAATGGGGTGGGGCAGACCCCTTCCCACCTCGCCTTCTCTCTGCTGATCTCAGTCCACCCACCAACCCATCAAGGAAGTGTGCCTGATGCTCCTCCCCATCATCCGCCAGGTGGAGTGTGCAGCCGATGGGAGGCTCTGCCGGGGGGGGGGCCTTCACGCCCCAACTTCTCACCACAGGAGGCGCCCCTGCCTGCCCCTCCGAAAGAGCCACCCTCCCCCCCTCCCCCCCCCCCCGGAGCCCAAAGAGG